TATTTCCTCAGCGGCCGGGGGGCAGCAGCGTTAGCATTGGCTGCAGCAGCAGCAGCAGCAGCAGCAGCAGCAGGTTCTTCCTCTCTCCAGCCTCTGCAGGGCCGTGGTCAGCAGATAACCCCGCTCTGATACGTGCTGTCACCAGAGCAGGCGTGTGTTTTTACTGTAACACGTTCTGCACCTGTCATCTGCAGAGGTTCCTTCTCTAAGAGAGGGAATCTCCGGTTCTCCTGCTCTAAAAATACCCCAGAGTGATTCCTGTTGCTGCTGTTTGTTTGGTTTGACTGCTGATATCTGACTCCACAAACACAGGGCACTGACAGCACACACACACACACACACACACACACACACGGAGTGTGTTTAGAAATAAAATGTATTTAACTGAAGTCATGGACTTCAGAGAACAGCTGAGAAGGTGAGGTTAGAAGCTCTGTGTCTGTGAGGATGTGCAGTAGCAGTTCCTCGTTTCAACCACTGGGGTGACTTACAGAGAACAGGTTGGACAGTAACTACATCCTACAGTCTTCATGTTCTTGACTGTTTGATGACGGTGTTTCTTCTTCTCTGATCGTTGTCTCTCGGCCAGGTTGACTTCAACAATCGGTCTTTAAGTTAAATAAAGAAGTAAGGTTTAATTTGGTCCAACTGTGGTGGATCAACACTCACTTGAGACGTCTTCAGCCTTCAAAGGCTGAACTGAATCTCTCTCTCCCTTTCTCCCTCTCTCTCTCTCTCTCTCTCTCTCTCTCTCTGTGTGTGTGTGTGTGTGTGTGTAGGCAGGAATGTCAACTGAGACTAATCTGCGCTCTGCTGCTCAGCTCTGCCGTCCGGGTGTTTATCCTGGCAGAAGAGCAGAGAGAGACAGACGCTCCGGCTACGCTACACTCTTACTACTGCTGCTGCTGCTGCTGCTGATACTACCACTGCTGGTGCTGCTGCTGATACTACCACTGCTGATGCTGCTGCTGCTGATACTACCACTGCTGATGCTGCTGCTGTTACTGCTGCTGATGCTGCTGCTGCTGATACTACCACTGCTGATGCTGCTGCTGCTGATACTACCACTGCTGGTGCTGCTGCTGATACTACCACTGCTGATGCTGCTGCTGCTGCTGTTCCTGCTGCTGTTCCTGCTGCTGCTGCTGTTCCTGCTGCTGTTCCTGCTGCTGTTCCTGCTGCTGTTCCTGCTGCTGCGGTTGCTGCTGCTGCTGCTGTTCCTGCTGCTGTTCCTGCTGCTGCTGCTGTTCCTGCTGCTGCTGCTGCTGTTCCTGCTGCTGTTCCTGCTGCTGTTACTGCTGTTACTGCTGCTGTTACTGCTGCTGCTGTTACTGCTGCTGCTGCTGCTACTGCTGCTGCTGTTACTGTTGCTGCTGTTGCTGCTGCTGCTGCTGCTCCTGCTGCTCCTGCTGCTGCTGCTGTTCCTGCTGCTGCTGCTGTTCCTGCTGCTGCTGCTGCTGCTACTGCTGCTACTGTCCATTCCTGTGTTGGACCGTGTTGGTCCAGATTCTCCTCAGACAAACACTCCTTCAAGGGTTTTGAGTGTAATCAATGTCTATGCTCACAGGGTCCACATGGGGGGAGGGGGGGGGGGGGGGCAGATTATTCAATTAAACAATTACACCCCTCTCCTCCTCCTCCTCCTCTTCCTCCTCCTCCACTTGTCAACTACCATATCAGTGTCTGAGGGCAGACGCCTGTGGTGAGTAGATGCTGGTGCCATTCCTAGTCCCTGGTACTGATTACTGCAGTGGAAATGCACAGAATTCCTGGTACAATTTTGGATTCACTGGTATTTGTACACATAATATACTTAGTTGTCTGTACAAAATCCAAAACTTCCAAAACTCATTCATTTCATTGACTCTGTCGACTGTCCACCAAGTGTCTGTCAACACTGTGTTTCTATTTTAGGAAACAGTTGAAACATGGCTGATACTACCACTGCTGATGCTGCTGCTGCTGCTACTACCACTGCTGCTGCTGCTGCTGCTGTTGCTGCTGCTGCGGCTGCTGCTGCTGCTGCTGATACTACTACTGCTGCTGCTGATACTACCACTGCTGCTGCTGCTGCTGATGACACCACTGCTGCTGCTGCTGCTGCTGTTGCTACCACTGCTGCTGCTGCTGCTGCTGATGACACCACTGCTGCTGCTGCTGCTGCTGATGACACCACTGCTGCTTTTGCTTGGATTCTGGCAGCCATAAAAGAACGTGGAGGCATGTCAATAAAATAGCAGCATGTGATAGAGATCCTGTCCTGTCCTGACCCTGATCTTGACCCTGATCCAGACTTAAGATCCACCAGTTCCTTTTTCCCCCAACACAGTTCTTAAATGTAAGATGAAAAGATGTTTGTTCTGTCATCGTTGACATCATTCAAAAAGTAACGAAAGGCTAACAATTAGCCTAGCTTTTTTCCCCTGTCATCCTCCCAGGAGGTCAGAGTGTGTGTGTGTGTCTCTAATCTACTGTCAGGCTTTGAAACTGGAGAATGAGGAGGAGTTGCTGCAGCTTCACCTCCACTGAGGCGCAGTGTCTCCACACAGACTGTGTAGATGTGTGTGTCCTCTGAGGACAGTCTGTCTTGTGGATAGTTGGTATCTCCCACTCCTGTTGTGACCCAGCTCCACAAACTTTCTCTCTTCTCACATTCCCTCCTCCTCTGTCCCCTGTCCCTCCTCCTCTGTCCCCTGTCCCTCCTCCTCTGTCCCCTGTCCCTCCTCCCCTGTCTCTCCCTCTGTCTCTTCTCTTAGACGGAGCTCCTTTTCCTCACATGACGTCTCCTCCTGCTGCAGCCGGCTAATTATCCCAGCTTTAGTCCACATTAGTACAGTTGAGAGGGTTTGAGGTTTCAGGTCTAATCTCTCTGGTTCTGGCCCAGGAAAATAGATTTGGTTTGTCATGTGGACAGACTCACAGACTCACAGATTAGGTCTGAGTCTGAGACCATTGACTGGATTTCAGGAGGTGAGTCATAGTAATCTGCAGTAATCTGACCTGTCAAAGAGCACTTCATCCTCGGACACTGGGTCAGAAACCCACTGTTTCACTGACCTTTGACATTCCAAATAACTCCCACACTTCATTCCTTCATGTTCTAACATTTCTGACTGTTTTAGGTCCAAATATAAGAAGTCTCCGACATCACATTCAATATTCCTACCATCTCTATATCTGGACAAAGTTTTTGTTACAATTGTCACTAGCCTTTAGCATCTTGCCTGTTTTATTTCGATGACTTTTTTAGTTTTTCTTCTTTAACATTGTTACTGGATTTCGTTCAGTTTATTTTGTCTAACCTTTAGTTCACCGTCAGCCCACTTCTAATTAGTGTTTCTGATGTTGCCTCTTCAGTGTGTCTCCTGACGGAGGTAAAAACAAAGATGTGTCAGAGTCACATCTGTCAGCTCCCAGCTCTGAGGAGGAGTTTCTCTCCTGTGTCTCTGTGGAGCAGCTGTCAGTGACAGAACAGAGCCAGGTGTAAAACAGAGGGAACATCTCCTCCTCTTTATCCTCCTCACCTGCACATGAACTCTGCACTTTGCAGATTTCACCCAAACCCCCGAGCTGAGAGAACGGCGCTGCTTTCATCAGTCGCAGCGCCCTGATTTATTTTAACTCCGCTCTGAGCGGGTTTGATGTAACAGCAGAGGCAGAAGGCAGTCAAACACATCCACTGAGCTTCAAACCTGCTACAGACTGTTTAATGAAGCGAGAACGCTGACACCTGCTGGATCACAGGTTATGACCTCTGACCTGACGTAAGAAACAAAACAGTCCATCTGTTCAAAAGACTACTACAGAGAATGAACTCTAGAAGTCATCGTCCCCCAACTATTAAAATAAAAAACAAAGAATAGTCAGAGAAAATAATTAGTCAGAAAAAAAAATAAAAGTACCGGTAGGTGAAAAAGTTAGAGAAAGAAGTGAAAAGGTAAAAATTAGCAATTCACCATTTCCATTACCTGCATCTTCTGGATCTTCATCATAATCTTCATCATCACCAGAGGACAGAGAATCTGTAAAACAGGAGATTAAGAGTGAAATTGATATCTAAAAAAGCACAGAGATTAAGAGTGAAATTGATATCTAAATTATATATTATGTAAAAGCTTCTGTGTAGAAATAAAATAAAAAAAGCTAAAAACTAGTCATAAAGTTACGGGGAGCAAATATGACTCAAAATGATTGGGACTCACTGCTCTTATATAAGCAAGTATACACCTATACTGAGGACCTCCACCCTTTTCACAGGCATTCTGGCTTAGGTGTGAAAATACTGACAGCTTTTGATCAGATCGTCCAAGAGCTGTTTGAAAAGCCTCTAAAGTATCACTGAAGTGGATAAATAACACAATAATCCCTTTATTATTAAAGCATCTGGGTCAGATTATTCCACTTTAATAAAACGCCCTAATTCCTGAGATTAGCTGAACTCTGACAGCCATCAGATTACAAACACATCACATCTGGAAGACGTTGGCTTCACTTGTTTGGTTTCGTGCAGAACACGACACGAAAACAGGCGACGAGAAAAGAAAAAAAACGAAAAAGAATTTAGGGTTTCACACGCAGTGGAGGTTAACACACACACACACACACACACACGCACACACACACACACACACACACACTCACACAGAGTTTATTGAGAAAGTCATGAATGAGTCCACAGTGCAGCGTAGCTACAACACAGACTTGTCTACAGCCGACACCAATGAGAGGGTCATTAGTGTGTGTGTGTGTGTGTGTGTGTGTGTGTTTTCTGTTTCAGTCGGAGGTGGAGAACCTCCATCAATTAAAAACCCTCTCAGCTCATCTTATAAATCTTCTTGACGGTGGTGGGCTTCGGTGAGGTGGAGGGAGTGTTTCTTTAAATTCAATATGAACAAAGACTATTTTTATTTGGTTAAACTTTAGCCCAACATGTTTGGGTGAATTTTGTCAGATTATCTACTTTGAACAAAGGCTTAGTTTGTGCTCCTAAATTTTCCAAATTAAAATTACCAACACTTTTTGTTAAAGCCTTGAATGACGTTATCAAGAAAAAAAAAAGAAAACTCCGACACTACGCTGTATTTGATGCTACGCAGCAGCAGCAGCAGCAGCAGCTACAGCAGCTACAGCAGCAGCAGCAGCAGCCTCAGCAGCAGCAGCCTCAGCAGCAGCAGCCTCAGCAGCAGCAGCCTCAGCAGCAGCAGCAGCAGCCTCAGCAGCAGCAGCCTCAGCAGCAGCAGCAGCAGCCTCAGCAGCAGCAGCAGCAGCAGCAGCTACAGCAGCAGCAGCAGCAGCCTCAGCAGCAGCAGCAGCAGCCTCAGCAGCAGCAGCCTCAGCAGCAGCAGCCTCAGCAGCAGCAGCCTCAGCAGCAGCAGCAGCAGCAGCAGCTACAGCAACAGCAGCAGCAGCAGCAGCGTCAGCGTCAGTCGGTAGTGAACTCATCTGTTTCCAATGACTCTCGTTTTACAGTTAATTTCGTTCTAATTAGTCGTCAATAACAGCTTCATCTGGAGTCCAGCAGTTTTATGGGAAGAGGTAGACACTTTAAAGCTACTGCTGCTCACTCTCCCTCCTCCCCCTCCTCTCCTCCCCTCCATCTCCTCTTTATCCTCTGAACTCCTGTTCCAGCTCACGGTGAATCCCACTGCAGCAGGATAATGAGCAGCACCTCCACCCGAGTGTCAGGAGGAGAAAAGCGAACAAAGCTCTGAGACGTTTTACTGCAGAAGGTTTTAGGTGGAGACAAATCCCTGCTGCACCTCCTCACTGATGATATCAAACTGCTGCGTCCTCTGAAGGTTCCTGTCAGTTTACCTTCAAACACTGTCCTTGGTCGTTGTTCTTGTTCATGCTGCGTTTACTGACTTTGTCTATCTACAATCACTGAAACCCTCCGAGCTTTTCTTTTTTCTAGGCGGAGCAGGACCCTCCCTCTCACCTGTCACTCTGATGGTGTAGTTGCTCAGCAGCCTGTTGTTTCGGGCCAGGCGGCAGGAGTAGACGCCCGAGTCCTCGTACGACACGTTGATGATGCGTAACATCCTCTGAACCACCCGCGTCCTGTCCCCGGACACCAGACCTGTGCCGTCTTTGAACCAGACCACGGGCTCCGACGGGTCGTCCATCTCACAGGGCATTTGCAACGTGTCCCCAATGCCCAAAACATAGTCCTCCAGGAAGGCTGTCTCACTGGACACAGGATCTGCAGCAACAACGACAACAAAATAGGAACAGTTATTTTTGGAGATTCTGTTCTGTGTTTCGGCACAATACAAAAAGTCAGGGAAAATGAATCTCTCTGAGGGGTTAGGGCCGACATGTTCTTAAGACCTGGAAGACTTAACGGCATTTGTTACTCGTCAGCTTCTACAGTACCACAAATGACTAAAAATGAATCTCTGAGTTCACTCCATGGCTCTGGTTGTTCATTCACTGCTGTTTCAGTGTGTTGTTGTGAGGCTTCATAAAGTCAAGTCTTAAAGTTAAATTAAAGTGTTGCTAAACAACAAAACAGCAAACAACAACGTGCTGTTCTACAGGAGGAAAAAACCTTTATGGACTTTTGGACAGAAAAGACAACTGTCCTAAAGAAATGTGGGACTTCACCAGCGTCAGATTAAGAGTCCATCTTGAATCAACCACATCTTCCTCCTCCTCCTCCTCCCCAGTCTTCCCCGTCAAACACCACCTCATTTACTCCACCGGCTCCGTGTGCCAGCTCCTCTGGAGCCAAGGAAAAATCAACATGTTTACTGGCTGCAGCGTGGATGCCGACCTCCGCTGAGGACGGACGAGACACACACGCACGCACACGTCTGCGTAAACAAACAGTGAGTCTCCTTGTGTGCCCCCTGTCCCCCGTCAGTGGTGTCTCCTCCGCGTCTAGGGTTTAATTAAACTCATTAAAGACCAATTCAGAGGCAGGACGCACTCGAGGACGCGCACAAATGAGTACGTGGACACCGGCGTCCGCACATACCCAGACCCACCCACTCGCTGACCAATGAGAGCCACTGACAGATGCAGGTGAGGAGCGAGCGTGAACGCGGCCTCCTCTCACTTTGATGCAGTTTGAAGCTGGACTCAGGAAATTGAAGCTGAGTGGTGAGTGGACCTGAGCAGAGCATCTTCACTGAGAATAGATCATTAATGAGCTCCATTATTGATGAGTTCTTTCAACTAAAGGCTGCGGTTGATGAGAAAACCTCGGACACAGAGGTGGAAACACATTCACATTAAAGCACCAGCAGAATGACTTTATCACTGAAACAAAGAGGAATTTTCAAATCCACCACTGAAAAAAACCGTTGAATGCAAACATAAAATAAAGAGAATTTAATAAAGTCAACAATAGAAACTTGAAAAATTTAAAAAACCCATAAAAAATTTATTTTTATTTTTCTACAGTTTCATTAAAATATTTTTTCAGATAAGAAAATACTATTTCCCCCTGCACTTTTTTCCTTTATTACATATTCACATTTTTTAAATAGATTCTGATGTAATTGCATTTTAAATTTTTTTTTATCACATCTTCATTTTGTTCTTTAAAAACCTAATAGAATGACAGTGAAGCTGTTCCAGCTAAAAAAAAAAAACTAAAGTCACAACATTCTTCTGATTAAAAAAAAAAAAAAAACTAAAGTCAAAACATTCTTCTGATTTTTTTATTAATTGGTTTATTATTCCTATCCTGAAGTTTGTTTTCATATTTATCAAATAAAACACTGCATTTTATGTTTTTTTCTCCTCCAGATTTGTTTTCCATTTCGATTTTATTTTGTTTTATTATTTTGTTTTTATATATTTATTTTCCATTATTATTATTTTGCTTTTTTAAACTTCAAATTAAAATGTGAAGATAATTATACTGATTAAATAATTGTACTGATCCATATGCAGCGACAGCAGCAGCAGCAGCAGTCACTAACTCCTCCTGT